CTCCTCCTTCTCCTCCTTCTCCTTCTCCTTCTCCTTCTCCTTCTCCTTCTCCTTCTCCTTCTCCTTCTCCTTCTCCTTCTCCTTCTCCTTCTCCTTCTCCTTCTCCTTCTCCTTCTTCTTCCATCATATGGTTTCCAGGGATCAAACACAGGTCATCATACTTGGCTACATGTGCTTTACCCACTGAGCAATCCTGCTGCTTTTTTTTTTAAAGACATTTGTGAACAGATTGAGAAATGCAAACATAGGCTGGACAATAAATGACATAGGAGGATTATTAGTTATCTTGCTAGAGCACGCTTTTGTGATCATGTTTTTGTTTTGGTTGAGGCAGGTTCTTGCTTTTTAAAACAGGCTGACCTTGAACTCACAATCCTCAGCCTGAGGCATAGTAGAATCATAGGTGTGTCAAGTTTTCCTAAAAGTCCCTATAGAGAAGCATTCGGAAGTATTTACAGGCAAATGATAAGATTTCTAAGGAAGAATATTAAAGTAGAAACAATACAGGCACCAAGCTTAACACTGAAGCAACAAGACTACACAGGCATTGTTTCAAATAATCATGACCCCCACAAGGTGCCCCGATTCCAGTCTCTGTGGATATGCTACCTTGTGTGGCAAAGAGACCTGTAAGATCAAGGTGAAGCCTAGGGGATATGGAAATCCTGAATTAGCAAAGTGGTCACAGTCCCATCCTTTGGGGTCTGATCACAAGAAAGGAACCTTCTCTAGCCTTATGAGAGTGGAGAACAGGGCTGTAACAACAATGGAAGAGGGGAAAGGGAGATTTGAGATTTGGTCTGGCCAATTTTACTAAAAATGCAACTAAAAGTTATATAGAAGTTTTAGTCCAAAACTGGATCCTTTTTCTCCTTGGCTTTATGGAATCAGTAGCAAGACCCAGGCCCTGTAATAAGCAGCAAAGAATAAGAGAAGGAGGCCAGGGAGATGCTCAGTGGATAATAGTGCTTGCTGTACAATCGGAAGGCCTAAGTTCAAATCCCCAGCAGAGCATAAACACTCAGGTATGGCTGTTCATACCTGTAACCCCAGCACTGAGGGCCAGGATAGGCAGATCCCAAGAGCTCACTGGTAATTGAAATGACAATGTTCTGCATCAGTAAAAGACCCGAGTGGAAAATATAAGAGGGAGAGTGATAGAGAAAGACACTGGGCATCTTACTCTGGGCCTCATCACACTTTTTATCATTTTCTCAAGTCATTGTCATGGCAATTGTCAACTATCACTACACTAGAGTGGGTGGTATGTAACATTCAGATAGAAATATAACAAAATTAGAGGTTTATCTGATATCACTCTGGCAACCAGCCCAACTGATTTCCATCAACCACCAGAGACTTCAAACCTTCCAGCATCCTGTCCTCATAGGTAGCAAGATTGGGGTGAGGTATGAATTCAGCCAGTCAAGACTGGAGTTAAGAACCATGTGGTTTGAAATGGACCCTAGAGGCTCGTATATCTGAATACTTGGCCCCAGTTGATGCTGCTATTTGAGAAGGCCACATAACCTTTAGGAGGCAAGCCTTAATGAGGAAGTATATCACTGGGGGAGGGATTTGAGGTTTTTACAGCCTGTCCCCATTTCCTGTTTGCTCTCTCTGCTTCCTATGTGCTGATGAACTGTGACCACTCTGCTTCCTGAGTGCCAGGCTGGCCTCATAGTCCTCTGCCTTGCCTTCCCCACCTGGAGGGACAATATTCCCTCTGGAACAATAAGCCAAAAACAAGAACCAACCAACAACCCACCCCCCAAAAAATAAACAAACAAACAAACAAAAAACCCTTTCTCCCCTAAGTTCCTTTTTGTCGGAGCCTTCTATCACAGCAAAAGAAAGGAAACTAATACAAACCACAAGATTGGGAGCGCTCCTCAAAGCTGAAACATGCAAAGACATGGAGAATCACTGAATGCCCACATGACCTGCAACCACTTTAGCTCCATGGTACTTGTATTAGAGTCCTAACCCACAGAACTGTATGTAACTGACTGTAAGATGATAAATTTGTATTATTTGGTGTAGGACATTTAGGGCTATGGGCAGAACCCTGGATTCAATTGAGCTCCAATACTAACAGAGAGAGAGAGAGAGAGAGAGAGAGAGAGAGAGAGAGAGAGAGAGAGAAAAAGGAGGAGGAGGAGGAGGAAGGAGGAGGAAGGAGGAGGAAGGAGGAGGAAGGAGGAAGAGGAGGAGGAAAGAAAGAAAGGAAGAAAAGCTATATTGTTTAAAGTCATTGCATTGACAGCTGTCTGTTGCTGTGATTTAACTAATTAATTAAAAATTTAAAAACCACCACAGCCAAGCCAACTTTATGGAAGAAAAGGGTTATTTTGGCTATGGTTCCAGAGGGGATAAGACTGGGCAGGAATGGCAAAGGTGGAGGAAGCAGACAGATCGCATCCTCCTCAGCTTCAAGCAAGAGTCAGAGAGAATTGGAAAGCAGGGTGTGGCTACATACATTCAAAGCCCACCCCTAGTGACACACTTCCTCCAGCAAGGGCTCACTTCCTAAACCTCCACAAACAATGCTGCTAACTGGCAAAATACTGTTTAAATACCTGAGGCCTGTGGGGGACAATTCTCCTTCAAACCACCACAGTAGTTCTTACCTAAAGCAGAAAAAAAAGAAAAGGAAAGGAAAGGAAAGGAAAGGAAAGGAAAGGAAAGGAAAGGAAAGGAAAGGAAAGGAAAGGAAAGGAAAGGAAAGGAAAGGAAAGGGACACATACCAGCATTTGTTGTTTGTTGTATTTCTTTCTTCTTCTTCTTCTTCTTCTTCTTCTTCTTCTTCTTCTTCTTCTTCTTCTTCTTCTTTGTAACAACCTAAGAAATATATTTTCCAAAATATTTCCTTTTTAAGTAAAGGCAGGCCTAACATGGGGTGTGATACATTTAACTTGAAAGGAAAATTTATGCCATAATACTTTTGTAAAAGAAAGTATAGGTAATAAGGTAACATTTGTTTTCAAAGTTTCAAACACTTAGAAACATAGTGCAATGTACTTTAAAGATGTCCAGGCTGGTTTCAGTAAAAATCTTCATACTATACCTTCAAGAATGCTAAGATACAGCTGAAGATGTAACTCTGTGGTTTAGAGCACTTTTCTTGCAGATGACCCAGGTTCAAATCCCAGCACCCACATGGATGCTCACAACCACCTGTGATTCCAATTCCAGGGAACCCAGTGCCCTCTCCTGGTTTCTGCGGGCCTATGCATACATGCAAGCAAGACATTCATATACACAAAATAATAAAAATTAAAGATTAAAGATTTAAAAAAAAAACATGGACTGGTGAGATGGTTAAATCCACAAAGTCACAAGTAGAAAGAAACAACTGACTCAAATAATAAATAAATAAATAAATAAATAAGATACAATAACTTCTTAGACTCCTGCCAACATTTACTAAAATTCTCTTCCCACTGGCATATATAAATTTAAAGAATATAAAAACAAATTAGACAAGTAAATAAATTTGTAGAAATTTCTAAAGGAAATTATCTCCATGCTTCAGCTGGAGCTCACTTGGTAGAGTTCCTGTCTGGCATCCACCCTGGGTTGAGCCCCTAGCACCACATAAAGCCGAGTATGTTTGCTAAAAGTCTGTAATCTCCACACTCAGGA